GCCAGGCGTGGCCGACAGCAGGGAGGATATCCACCTCCACCGCCACCTGCGGGCAACCCTGCTGCACGCCCACGACTCCCAGACTGGTCATGGTTCGATGTACAAATCAGCCTACAAAGCTTACGAAGCCTTGGCCCAAGCGTGGCAACGCGCGAGATGCGGAAGCTACACTTACGATGGCTCCATGCTGAAGAGCTTAGGTCGAGACTCAGCTTAGCCAAAGCAGGTCTGGACGACGCCAGGCTCAACCTGATCAAAGGCGTCTGCGACACATGTCGGGACTGCGGGGCTTGGGACAAGCCAGGGCGCGCCGTTATGTCATCCACCGCACTACCTGGCAAGTTCAATGAAGAAGTCGAGTGCGACCTTATGTTCTACAAACAGGAACACCATATATTTCACATCGTTGATCGTTGTATTCGGTGTGCGGCTGGAATGGAGGTACCAGACAAGACAATGACCAGTACCTTAGATGCGCACCATCAGTGCGGGATGCAATTCGGACCTGCCAAGGTACTCAACTCCGGTGGGGGGGGGGGGCGCCCTGAACAACGACGCTGCAGAGACAGCCCTCAAGGCAAGGGGCACGGACTCGAGGAAATGCGCGCCTGGACAACACGCTACGAGCCAGAAATGGTGCATTATGTCATCAACTTCATGTTATGGAAACTGAACTCGACAGGTTAGACATACCTCTTGTGTTCACACGACTACTGCACGAAGCCCTGCTTGCCGCCAGCTCATTCACCTTCTATACTGAGGTGTCTCCATATAATGCCTTGCTCGGACGGCAACCGGCAATGCTTCCTGACCTGCCCGTTCTGGAGCATGCACAGCCAACAGAAACGTCTGACCACTCTCGAGGACAGGTTATACGCAGGGCATGCATCGAAACTGTCACACAGGCTACTGCAGTAGCCAAGACCAATCGAGCATTACGTATTGAGACAATTATTACCGGTCAGCATTATTTCGATGAAGGAGATCCGGTTGACTACCATCGCCCCGCAACTACGAAGGACGACTGGGGAGGCTGGAATGGCCCGTTCCCAGTTGCACGAAATGACCCCGACAGGGGTCAAGTCATCATTCGACTGGAAAGCCGCGATGTACAAGTCCAAGATGGCGATGCACGACATTCACTTTACATCGAAGCTTTGGTAGCCAGGGAAATCGGCTCCGACAACACTGCGTTGCGGGTTTTTTTTGTTTTGCCAGTCTACTTGCGGGGGAACTTGCTACGACACTTGGCTATGGTCCGACCAGAAAGGGGACGCTTCAGATGACCAGCTCAAGCCGACCATCTCCCAAAATACATCTGTCACTACAATACCTTATCAGAAACTTCTTCCGCATCGAGAATGTAATCTCTGTTGGGGTGGCCAAGAGCATCCATAAGCTACCTCCGGTGGCTTACGCTGACAGTTGCACATTGGTCTATTATGACAATGCTGTAAATCCAGGTCTCCATTACTATGAAGCAGAAGGCACTGCACTGAATATTCATGATATAGCTGGATCAGCACATTCGAGAGCCATCCAATGCCTAAAGTCCACTAAACCTCAAGCAGGCGTTGACCAAGATATGACAAAGTTTGAGGAACTGGCGGACATACCTGCACAAGACGAAAACGCCAGAGAAGCCCGAGAGGCCGAACCGCCACAGGAGGATGGACGGCTGCCTACGATATATGAGGAATCAGAAGCGGACCTTGAGGCACATATTATGGAAGGGCGGTACACAGAACCACATGACGAAAGGGAACTACTGGAGGCAACTCCAGTAGACGACCTTTTACACTCTACCCACGCATATGATTCCTGACAACAGTGCGCTGGTCGCTGTAGCTGAAGAACAGAGGGGGCACCTGCCTAAGTGGGGATATTCACGCGACTCCGACATCGACGAGACGCATCATGTCCCGCGACGCTCCACGGTCGAAGACCACAGTTACGGATTGGACTCGGGCGAAAACGGTCAATATGTAGAACTCTGCTTCACGGCAGGAATGCCAAAGGATGTCTTTTCCGAACAGCAGCGCAGGATACTAGATGCCGACCGCACAACCACCGTGCGAGCATGCGTCACCGCCGCTGCAAAACAAGCTGCGGCACCGCCGCTGCAAAACGAGCCGCGGCCGTCAAGGGGGGCGACCTCGCGAAGGCCGACGTCCAGGCGAACCCCGAGAAAGCACGACAGGCCCTATATACTGAACGCAAGACATAGTTGGACAACAAGTGTTCCATTATGCAAGATATATCGACAGCGTCAGACAGCAGGACTTCGAGGCACGCATATGAATGGAAGTTCGTGAAGAACGAGAAGGGCGAGATGGAACGCACCATCAGATTACGCCGGGTGGTTCGGGGCCCCATGGACCTCGAAGCTTTTGACGCGCAAACCTTCTCAAGGACAGCACGAAGGGCCAAGCCGGAGATCACTCGCAAGCACGGCAGCGCGCAAGAAGCAATGGATCACTGTTTCCCCTGACATCAACATGGCTTTCCTGAAAGGGCTACCCGAGCGGGAACTTGCTTACTCAACTGGTGAGAAGGAACGCGCGGCGCGCTGTACCTTGCCGCCTGGATCGGCCACGGCGCTTCGACCCCTCCCGGGATTCGAGCACCACGACGAGCCGAAGCACTGCCTGCAGTGCCTCGCGCCAGGCACTGGCACCAAGGATGCCCCCAGGGCTTTCTCACTGAAGCTCAGGAGGACCACGAGAGGCTTCGGTCTCAGACCCACGTCCTACGACGAGGAGTTCGAGACAAGCAGCAACCTGCCCACAGCCAGATATGCCGATGATATCGATATGGCTGGCACGGAGGACACCATTGACAAGTGCGTCAAGTGCGTCGAGGACATTTTTTGCCGGTGCAAACTCAACAAACATACATGTACAAATTGTGCTGCGAGGTACACAAAGGACACATTGGACCAAGACGAATACATTCAACAGCTCTGTCCTATACAACATATTGAACTCTCCGGCGCCGACGCTGACGCAACGGCATCCAAGATGGTTACAGACATGTTCGTCAGCCTCAGAGGCGCATTACGCATTAATCACCCAAGTTTGGTTGATGGTAGATGTGGTCTCTCTACAACGTGTCCAAGAACCGACCAATATACAAGTGCGACGACTGAGCGCGATCACCAGGAAGTTGCAGGCATGCCCTACGAAGATCGTCTATCAATCGATGACTCCAACAGGCGAAATTGACCTGCACAGCGACTCCGGCTATCGACGCCTGAGTGGAGATGCTGATGACGAAGGCAAAGTCTATGGTATTCGCGGGGCAAACCTGCTACGGCGTGGAACCGCGCCATCCGGTAAGCCTATCGTCCACTTGAGCGATACGCACTGCAAGTCTCACCGCTTGCAGGCCCGCTCAATCTATTCAGCAGAGACACTTGCAGCAGCCCACAACCTGGAGGACTGCTACCCCACGATCGTGACTCTGCGCGAGCTCCATGCAGGTCCGATGACCGCCACTTAGTTGAAAGACATGCTTGAGTTGGGTGGGCTGAGCATCAATATCACCTTGACCATAGGTGCTGAACATGTTGTCAAGTCCTTGTCAGGCGAAGACCTGAAGAAGCCGACTGAGTGTACCCTTCTTAGGACACAGCAGTTGAATACGACAGATAATGGAGCGAGGAATCGTGCATAGCATTCAGTGCTGCGACACTCGCGACATGACCGCGGATGGTCACACAAAGGGGAGCATTGACAGAGATATGCTCCTACAGGTCATGGGAGGTATTAAATCCTTCAAGCATGATCTACAGCGTCATACTCCTTATCGGGCTGGTCAGACATCCTGGTCTGTGGCCGCCTGAGGAGTAATCATATGCACAGCAACGCGCTTGCAAGGCAACTTGCTTGCGGGTCCGCCTTCCTTACGGCCCCGCCTTTTGCTGTCTTTTTGTACATAGTAGCTGCTGCATCTGCTTTATAGTGGCGGCGGACTCACGCTTCGTGTCCCCCCCCCGAAACTAAAGTGAACTGGGATACTGGCGAGAGTAACGAGCGTGTGTCCGCGGCTGTTTGTGCTCAAGCGGCCGGCCGCCAATACCTGACGACACCTCAGTGCGAGGTATACGATGCGCCATCGATATCCTTCGCTTGAGATGGCCCGTCGCTCCCGCGACGATCTCCTACGATTGGGACTGTCGTTACTACGATACAACAGAGCTGGAGATGTGTTTCGCCTGAGGCGAAGCTTCTGGTCGGGACTACCGGCCCCCTTCAAACTAACAATTCATGACAACGTCGGTGGCACAAAGCACGATACCTGTCTCCATATTAATATCCGCTTCTCCTGGAAGGCGCTTGTTAGGGGGATTTTCCTCGTGCTGAGCGGAGCAGGCCTGGCGGGCGCAGTCGGCCGTTCCCTCTCGGAGCCTTGTGGTTGGTGTTCCGTCTGTGGTTCCGTGTGGGGAGCAGTTGGCCACAAAGCTCGTTTCGCCCATGGGGCGCACATGGCGCATAGGGGTCGTACGGCTTATAGTGCTCATAGTGCACGGTTCGTGGGGACGTGGGGCTCGTAGGGCTCGCCGTTATGAGGCTCCTCGGGCTTCCAAAAAAATCAGAGGGAGCGTCGTACCCATGAGGGTAACAGGACGCGTAGAGAGTTGTTAGGGCTGGTGGGACCTGCACGGCATGTAGGGCCTCAGGGCTCGTAGGCCTCGCCAGGTTTCAGGAGGCCTGCAGAAGGACATGCGAGCATCATGAGCTTCCGTTGAGGGCGCACGTCTGGCCCGAACGTACCATACGGACTCGAACGAAGGATTGCAAAAAACCGAAGGATCGCCAAAAAACCCGAAGGATTGCAATCCTTCGTTTTTGTTGCACTCCTTCGTTCAAGCGAGGTTTTTTTGCAATCCTTGGTTTTTTTGCAATCCTTCGGTATTTGTTGCAATCCTTCGTGGCTTGTCGGCTCTCCCGGCCAGCTCCCAAATGGTGGCCCCGACGGCTCCCGCCGACCGGCGGGAGGTCGGCGTGCCTCGTGCTGGCGCCGCTGCTCTCGCTCGGGGCGCCGCTGCTCCAGGCGCCCGACCTGTCGGCCGTGGCGGAGCAGGCCGGGCAAGCCGCGGCCGCCCGGCCGGGTCGGGTCGGGCGAAAGGGGGGGATTGGGAAAGGGGGGGTTGCGAAATTTGCTGCATGCAGCTGATTTTGGCCTCACCGAGGAGCCCATTCCTCGATACATAGCCGCCTCCGGCGCCGGGAGGCGCCGGGAAAATCAGCTACGTGAGCTGATTCTCAAACCCCCCCTTTGCTATCCCCCCCTTTCGCCCGACCCGATCGGGGCTCGTTGCAATGCCTACGAATCGATTCGGCTCGATCTCGATGGTTCCCAATGCCGATACGATTCGACTTCGGTGTCCGATGTGGATTCCGATCTCTCGGCGTTGGCCTACGGATGTGTCTGCCGGCACCTTGTCCGACTGGGTTGCCAAGTTCCGCCGATCCGATGCATGTCGATCGCCGACCCTGCTGGTCGAGTCGATTCTGGGCCCTCCTGCTGATGGGACGAGGATCGAGGAGGATCGACGGGATCGAGGATCGAGGGTTGGAGCTGGCTGGAGGTCTGAGGTGGCCCAGCATTGGTTCCGGGTCCCCCCTCCTCCTCCTCCGAAGAGACTTTGGGTTTGGGCATGTTCCTGTTTGCCTTCTCGGCCTCCAGGGGCCGGTTGCGGGCTCTGTGGGACCGTCAAAGCGGAGATCCGGGGCGAAAAATAGCACCAGATAGACCGCAGGAGGGGTCTGGGGTCCGATTTTCATCGGCGGCGAGCGAGGGGGGGAAGTGAGAAGGAGAATGCCTTTTCAGCAGGCTCGGAAGTCCCCCGTCCTTCTGAGAAGTTTTCTAAGCCTTCCCCGAAGACGCAAAAATCTTCTCAGAAGGAGCGAGGGTTTCTGAGAAGTCCCGCCGCCTTCTGAGAAGGTCTTTTCCTTCTCACTCCCCCCCATCGCTCGCCGCCGATTTGAGCACATTTGGGTTCATCCCCCCTTGACCGATTGTCTTGAGTCCCAACCAGGTCAGATCCCCTGGCCGCCTCCAATTTCGGGGCTCGAGGATCGAGGGTTCGAGGATCGAGGGGTTGAGGATCGAGGGGGTCGCGGATCGAGAGGGTCGAGGATCCAGGGGGATGAGGATCGAGAAGATCGAGGATCGAGGGGGTCGAGGATCGAGGGGGTCGACGATCAAGAAGATGGAGGATCGAGGGAGTCGAGGATCGAGGGGGTCAAGGATCGAGAAGGTCGAGGATCGAGGGGGTCGAGGATCGAGGGGGTCGAGGATCGAGAGGGTCCAGGGTCAAGGGGGATCGAGGATCGAGGGTCCGCAAATCGAGGGAGTCGAGGATCGAGGGGGATCGAAGGGATAGGAGGATCAAGAGAATCGAGGATTGACGGGGTGGAGGATCGAGGGGGCCGAGGATCGAGGGGGTGGAGGATCGAGAAGCTCGAGGATCGAGGGGGTCGAGTCGAGGGGGTCTAGCATCGAGGGAGTCGAGGGACGGGGGGTTTGAGGATCGAGAAGATCGAGGATCCCGCCCGCCCCGACCCGGCGCAGGCGGCGCGGGTGCTCTGGCTCGGCATCCTCGCGCCGCCCGCAGCGGAGGCGGGGCCCCCCCCCGCCGCCTCGGCTCGGCACGGAGGCGGACACGACCACGACGACGGACGCCGCCGACCAAACGTCGCCGGAGCCCGGCCCAGGCCCCAGGCCAGGAGGCGGCAAGGACGGTCGGCCTTGGGTTATGTGTGTGCGTGTTGTCTTTGCGCTTCTGGCCGCTGGGTGCCGTCTCTCCGCGCCCCCAGGGGGAGGAGGAGCAGGCCGAGGAGCACAGGGAGGAGGAGGAGGAGGAGGAGGAAGAAGAGGAGGAGAAGGAGGAGGAAGAGGCGGAAGAGGAGGAGTCGGAGGAGGAGGAGGACCAACACGCATCCCGAAAGAAGAAAGGCTGAGGGTTGGGCGACCCGGCCCAATCCAAGAACCTCGAGGTCAGAGCCTGCCAACGGAGGAGGAGGATCGAGGCTCGAGGATTGAGGAGAGGAGGAGAAGGAGGAGAAGGAGGAGAAGGAGGAGAAGGAGGGGGAGGGGGAGGGGGAGGGGGGGGCGGAGCACAGGGAGGAGAAGGAAGATCCAGGCTCGAGGAGAGGCCCTCCTAGAAAACCGTCCCGCGGCGGAGGATGGGCCCCCGGCGACGGGTCTGGAGTCTTCGGGGGGCCCACGCGGCGAAGCAGGCGCGACGTCGGAGGTCGGGGGCCGGAGGAGAGGGCGCCCGGAGATGGAGGAGGCGAGTTCCCACAGCGGGGGCCTCGCCCTCGTCCTGCTCCTCGTTTCCTCCTCCTCCTCCTCCTCCTCCTCCTTCTCCTCCTCCTCCAAAATCGCCGCCGCCGAACTGCGCGCGCGCTCGTCGGTACACTTCACAGGAGCCTTTGGGAGGGACCGCGGGGCCGATGGGAGAGCGCCCAGAGATGGAGGAGGCGAGCTTCCGCAGCTGGGGCCGAGCAACTTGAGCCTTTTGGGGGAAGAGAAGGCGGAGAGGAGGAGGAGGAGGAGGAGGAGGAGGAGGAGGAGGAGGAGGCGCGGGCGAAGAAAGGGGGAAGATCCCGAGGGCCAGGCCTCTGGCCTGAGCTTCGGTGGACGCAGCAGCTGGCGGGACCAGATGTGAAGCCTGGCGATCCTTCGGATTCGCCACGATCATGTCTGGTGGTCGTGATGCGCTGTCCATCTCAGCGCTCATCGGCCCCCGGGTGCCTGGACCTCGATGGTTGCGTAGATCGGGGCTGGTTCGGGCATCCGCCGCCATGGAGAAAGTGTGTCCTGGAGGCACGGTCAGCCACGCGCAGAGGGAGGTGAGTGGGGGGGCGTCTCAAAAGCACCCCTACTTCTGAGAGCCCCCCCCCCCTCCGGACCCTCGTGCTGCGCGCCGCCAAGATGTGTCCTGGAGGCAAGGGATCCTGGCGGTTTTCCCCTGCTTTCGGGTCCAGGGGGCCCTGCCCCAGCGCCCTCAGAATCGTCAGAGGGTGACGGTTTGTTCCCGGCGTGTCGTGGCGTGGCGCGCGTAGGTAGGCTACGGTGGCGTTCACCTTGCAGGTGTGCACAGCGCAGCCGCCTGTACCGTCACCCCGCCCTGCCCCCCCCCCCCCAGCCCCTGGGAAAGATGCGCCTCAAACCCTGGAAAAACAACACACACACACAAGATCAAAAAGGAAGTTCAAAACGGATCCCGACAAGAAACTGTTTGATTCGCGGGTCGAGAGCGAGCCTCGTCAGTTCGAAGCTAAGCGGGCCGCGCACAGCTTGAATTAACAGAGGAAGGGAAAAAGAAGGCGGGGCCTCACGTCAACGCCAGGAGAGGGCAAAGCCCCGGGATCAGGCGGTGCTGAAAGCGAAGTGCATGCAAAGGAACGCCTTGGACAGGAACCCGGAGGCGAAGTACCGGGAGGCGGAAAGCTGGTGGTGGTGCCGTCAGCGGCGCATCATGTACACCAGCCCCATAAACTGCGGGAGGGACGCGCCACGCATCCAGGGCGACGCCCGAGAGGATGAGGAGCACCGCTGCGCTGGAGTGCAACGTTGTGCCACCGTGCAGGATGCAGGAGAGGCCCAGGCCGTGGTAGTCCAAGGTGCCACGTGCAGGGAAAAGGAACCGCAGTCTGAGGCGCGACTGCCAGGCGAAGCCGGTAATTTGCCGCCCAGTACCGACAAAATGCCGGTGTGCTGCAGGGAGGACGCCTGCCCCGCAGCGGCAAGCGCGTGGGAATGGGCTGGAGCCGCACACATTGCGCTGCCGCTCCGCGGTGCCAAGGGCCGGGCCGAAGCCGCGCAGCGCCAAGGCCCGCGGGGCCGCCGAGGCGGCAAGGTGCAAGCGCCAGGCACCGGGCCGAAGCCGCGCTGTGCCGGGCGCTGCCGCCATGGGAGGGGGGGTAGCGAGCGGGGGGGGAAAGCGGGCAGGAATGAGAAAGGCCGGCTCAGCGGGCCAGCGGTCGCCAGAGCAGCCCCGCACCAGCAGCTGAGCGTGGCCCGTGCTGAGCAGGGAGACCCTGCGGAATCAGGGGGGGCAAACGGTCCCATAATCAGGTAAAGGAAGGAGGATGGAGGAGGAGGGCACGTCGCCGACGACTTTGACCAGGCCGAACTCGACGAGGACGCCGCCATGCCGGGACGAGGGAGGCGGCCCGGGCGGTGCAGTTGGCAGGGAGACCCTGCGGAATCAGGGGGGACTAACGGTCCCATGTCCGGTAGAGAAAGAGGAAAGGAGGAGGAGGGCAGGTAGCCGAAGGCGCTGACCAGGCCGTACTCGAGGAGGACGTCGTGGCGCCAGAGCCAGGCGGAACGGTTCGGACAAGGTGCCCGTGGCCAAGAGGGCCGTGCGGCGCTGCTGTGCGTGAGCGCATAGCCCTGGACCCCGTGTCAGTGCCATTTCAGGACGCGTGAAGGTCGTCCCCCGCGCCCGCTGTGGATGGCAGTACCCAGGTGCCGCCGGATTCCTGCTGCAGGGCACTGCAGTCCCAGCCGATATCGCAACAGGTGCGGGATCAGGAGGGACTAACGGTCCCAAGGTCTGGTGTGCATGAGGAAGGGAGAGGGGGAAACCAGAGTACGGGGCAGTGGTCGGCGACGTGCTGGTTGTACCCGGAGTATAGCGCCACGAGGCTTGCAAGAGACAGGAGGTGCGGTAGTGCGGCACCCTGTGCGCCGTCAGGGGCGGAGGTCCAGAGCCGGTCAGCGCCTGGGGCGCTTCCCCGTCCAGTTGTCGGTGTACCCCGAGCTGCGTGCTTGGCCCTCCTCGCGCCCTTCACCTTTGGCCACCTCCCTCTTCCGCTGAAACTCCTGGTACAGGGTGTTCTCGCGCTCCCAGTCCACGTAGACGCCTGCGTTCCGGGACCACTTACCCACGTCGTAGTGATTGTTGACCATTCCCTCTAAGAATCGATCGATCATGTCGGGTTGCCAGCAGGTGGGGTCGAACTTGACTTGGTCCTTGGTCTTGAAAACAGGCCCTAGGGAAAGGCCTCGGATCCAGGATGCCGTCCGATCAGGACCTCATTATGTCCTGCTGATGAATCGGATGCCTTCAGAGGGCATCTCGTACGATTGCGTATGTTTGTTTCTGGCGCTGGCACGCCGTAGAGGTCAGAAACGGTCGAAGTCCTGGTATGTTGGCCGCGCATCTTGCAGCACCGCCCCCCGCGCAAGGCCTTCGCAAGCTGCGCACTCCGTTCACCCGATGTGATGGACGGCCTCTCGCGGATCTCGGAACCTTGAGTCCCAGAGATCAGGAGAGGAGGAGGAGGAGGAGGAGGACGAAGAAGAAGAAGAGGAAGAGGAAGAGGAAGAGGAAGAAGAAGAAGAAGAAGAGGAGGAGGAGGAAGATGAGGAAGAGGAAGAGGAGGAGAAGCTCTGAGGGCCTGCGTGGACGTTGGAGTCCACATGCCAGAATGTCAAGATGCATTCGTGGAGGGCCGCTTTACTGTATCGGCTCGCACGTGCACCCCACGTGAGGCTGAGATTCCATACGGATTCCCTCTTCCATATTTTATAATCTGGGGCCCTGCGACCCCCCCCCCCTAAACGGGACCCCTCCGGATCGTTAGCCCCAGGGACACCCTGGACGCCTCTGCGGACAGTCCCCTGCGCTTTCCGGGGCTCCTGAAGCTTCTGCTGGGCCCAGGCAACGGGCCCAAATCGGTCAGGAGGGCGGCCGAACGGCCCCGCGAGAGCCCACAGAGGCCCTAGACATCCACCAGACGCCCTAAGACGACAGAAAGAAGACCCCCAAGAGGCATTCGAAACGCAAAAAACATTGATGTCCGATGGTTTTGTATGATGTTGGGAATGCTCAGTTATTCGGTCTTCCGGGCGTCCGAGACCGCCCAGGAGGCCAGAGAATCGCCTCAAGTTTAACCAAGAGGGCTTCCGGGCAGTCCAAGAGGAGCCCCAAGACGGTCCAACAGGGCCCCAAGATGGCCCGAAGAGAGCCCCATGACGGCCCAAGATGACCCCAAGAAGCCTCCCGAAGATTCCAAATCGTGACCGGGTCGTCCAGGGAGACCGCGGTTGGAAGCAGGGTGGTTTTGGGAAGCCCCCATAAGGCCCCAGAAGGAACCCAGGAGGCTTCCAGAAGGACCCAACAAGCCCTTAAAAACCGTCGTGAGGCTTACAAGAGGCTCTCCAAAGATGAGCCTCCGCACAAAGAGCTGAGGATGGGGAAGACTTCGCAGGGTAGGGCGAGAAAGGGGACGTGGACGAGGAAGAGGAAACATGAGGTAAGAACAACGACTAGCATGCTTACAACAACGAAGAACAAAACAACAGCGAGTTATCTATCGCAACATGATGTTTGTACCTGATTGCCCTTCTGCCTGCATGCCAAATTTAGGGGCCCACATGCAAGGCTCGAAGCGCCAATGCAGTATTGTATACATTATGTATGGATGTGTATGTATGTACGTACGTAATTACGTGTGTAATTACGCGTGTGTATGTTTGTGTGTATGGATGTAGTTATGTGTAGGTGTAGTTGTAGGTGTAGGTGTAGGTGTATATGTATGTCTGTGTGTGTATGTGTATGTGGATGTGTAGCTATACATGTATGTGTGTATGAATGTGTGCATGTATGCGTGAATGCATGTATATGTGTATTGATACATGTATGCATGTATGCATATCTGCATGCATACATGCATGTATGTATGTATGAATGTGCGTATGTATGCATGTATGTGTATGTATGTATCTATGTATGTTTGCATGTATGTGTGTATGTATGGATGTATGTGGGTGTATGTATGAATGTATGTATGTATGTATGTATGTATGTATGTATGTATGTATGCATGTATGTATTATGTATATGTATCTGTGTATGTGTGTATGTATGTATGTATGCATGTATGTATGTGTGTCGGTATGTGTGTATGTGTGTACGTGTGTATGTGTGTATGTGTGTACGTATGTATGTGCATGTGCATGTGTATGTGCATGTGTGTATGTGTGTATGTATGTATGTATGTATGTATGTATGTATGTATGTATGTATGTATGACAGCTGCGCCCTGCGTATGTCCGACATGTTGCAGTTATGCAGTACATACGACGCCTCATAATCAGCGATGGTTGCGATAATGAAGAGCGGGCCTCTGCGTTGCTAGCACCTAGGAAACGGCGGCGGTAGTTCGCCCCCTGTTTCAAGGTCTCCACGTTGCATCGCCGATGTTGCAAATTGTCCGTACCATAACAAGCTATGACGATTGAGTGGCGTCGGTGCTCCAGCCTTCAGATGCACTGTTGGCCGATATGTGGTTGGCTCTCATGCCCATGCCGAGGCGACACACGAGACCGTCTACTACCGCGCGATCTGCCAGGACGGTCCCTCGGTGATGGCGATCCTGGACGTATTCGAGGCAGCGCGGGCAGCGGGTTGGTACGAGCAGTGTGCCTTTGATGTAGAGATGTACATATGAACATCATTATATATAAAGAGAGGGGGAGAGAGAACGAGAAAAGAAACAAAATCCGAGAACACGAGAGAGAGAGAGAGAGGCAGATTGACAGAGAGAGGGAGGGAGGGAGAGGACGAGAGGAGGGAAGAAGGGAGGCCCAGGAGGCTCTGGAAGGCTCAAGGAAGGCCCAGGAAGTCCGAGCAAGCCCTGGGGAGCTCAAGGGGCGTGGTGGTGTGGACGGGACGATTCGACCTCGCCCCTTGCGTTTGTTGTTTGGCCCACCTCTGTCGTGTCTTTCTTGGGCGAGAGGGGAGAGGAAGAAGGAGAGAGAGAGAGAGAGAGAGCGAGACAGAGAGAGAGAGAGAGCGAGAGAGAGGAACAGAGAAAGAGAGAGAGAGAGAGAGTCAGACAGACTGACAGGCAGAGGAGGTGGAAGAGGACGGGGGGGGAGGGTGCGAGGGAGGCCCAGGAGGCCATAGAAGACTCGAGGAGGGCCCAGGAAGTCCCAGAAGGCCCTGCAAGCTCCAGGAGCGTCCCAGGACGCTCCATGAGGGCATAGGGGACGAGCGAACTCAAGCCATGCGCCGTCCAGCGCGTTGGCGGGAAACCAAGCTCAGCACAGCCTGCAATACAAGGACAAGCAGCAGGAGGAAGAAGAAGAAGAAGAAGAAGTAACAACAGGAAAGCTGGCAATGAAAAGCGGCCTGCCAGTGGTCACGGTCACGTGTCTTTGTGCATTGGTGCAATGTATTTTGAAGTTGTTTCTTCCATGATTGGTTCAAGTAGGTGATGCTCTTAAGGGGAGCAGACCTTGGATGTATCGTACAATGACGTGTTCATTCACGAGTCGGCCTCCAAGGATAGCTTGTAACATTGCGTGACACGAGACGCGCACTGCTACACAGGCATAACAGTAAGTTCTCTCTGTGTATACCCCTCGCTGCTACGACGATTTGTTCCAAACCACATAAGTTTGACATTATATAGTCGTGGTGTATACGGAGCTTGGCCAGATCTTTCCAATGTGGTTTCGTTGGACATTATTGATCTATAAGGGCGCCTGGTGCAAAACATATAACGCAGACAGCGGGCTTGGAACCCAGGAGGGAGGGAGGAAAGGAGGGTTGAGGTATGCAGGGATGGAGTGAAAGGGGGAGTGGAAGGGGGACAGGGACTCCGTAGCCTCTTTGGCTCAAGTCTTCGAAGCCTCACGCCAAGAGGGCGATTGGCAAATGTAGGCGGGGCATCTCCGCGGGCAATGAAGCGTTGCGGCGCTGTCTCGATTGCGTCAGTTGTAGCCGCCTGGCTGGTCTTGCCGCACCCGTCGTCTGGCAGCGCCTCCTCCACGCTGGCCGCCGACGAGGGCAGCGCAGAGCAGACGGATGAGAGCTTGGAGGAGCTCACCGCGGAGCGGGACGACCTGAGGGCCCAGTTGGCCACGAAGAACCAGGAGTTCCTGGTACAGCACAGCCGGGCCGACAGGCTCGCGGCCAAGGTGGCGGCATTGAGGCGGGAGTTGGCGGCCGAGACGCAGAAGGCTCAGGGGCTGGAGCTGAGACTGGGCCAGGTGCGGTCGCTGGTGGACGCCGACGCCGAGGACAGCCCAGCCGTGGCGAGCTCAGCGCCGCAGCCCGGCCACGCCGCCGCCGCGTCACACACCTCGGCCTCCGCCGCACCGGCAGCGGCAGCGCCTCCGCCGCCGCCGGCAGAGGGGGCGGCCGATGCCTCTCGCAGCGAGGCGCTGGCGCAGCGGCCGACCGCGCCTCCCGCCGCGGGGCCTCGGTTGCCAGCGCGCGTCGCGGGCCCAACGCCGGCGCGGGTGCCGACGGTGGCGAGGCCTGCAGCTGCAGGCGGCCCCGCCGCCCTGCGGCCCAGTCGGCCGGCGCCCCGCATGGAGAGCCAGGGACCCCGTCCGGCGGAGCCGCGCGGACCGCTGCGCGGGCAGCCCGAGCCGCACGCGGCGTTGCCGGGCGGCCCCGCAGCGGCGGGGCCCCCGCGCCCGGCAGCGGCGGCCGCGGGGCGCCTGTCCCGGTCGGCCCTGATGTCAGAGCTGGAGGACCGGCTGCGCGTCCGAGTGGTCGATGATCTTCAGGACGTGTGTTGGCTCAAGCGTGTCTTTATCCCAGTCGGTTCCGCCGCCTACGTCGCAGCGAAGGGCCTCGTTGGCGCTAACAGACGTCCTGAGGACCATCGCAGGGCCCCTTCGCTGGAGTGACCCTTAGCGCGGGCCCGCTGGGTTCCCCGGCACCTGGCCTGCGCGCACGCGAATTGGGGCCCCCAGGGGCCCCGAAGAGCTGCGCACCGACGCCCACCTTTGCCTAGGGTCACCCCTGCGAGCAACCGGGAGGAGCAGGTCTCTCAGCTCGCCACTGCCGGTGTGCAGGCTGCTCCCGCGGTGCGCGGCGCGCCGGCGGGCGGTACCGCCGCCGCCGCCGGAGGCGCCGCCGAGGGCGGCGGCAGCCGCCCCGTCGCCGCGGCCGAGGGCGTGCCCGCAAGCGCCCGCCGCCCAGAGGCGCCTGCCCTGCCGGCCGAGCAGAACGCCACCAACGCGACGGGCGAGGCTCGGAGGTCCCCAAACCCAGGCATGGTCGCGTCGTAAATAAATCAGGACAGGAGTTCTTTTGCCATTTTCGGCCTCGGGGGGGCCCTCGCTGGGCCTCGGGGCCGTCAAAAAACGATTCAGGATGAAAAACTGGTCCGGGGGAAAAGGTCGGGATTTCCAGGGACCCCGCATTGAACAAATCAGGGCGTCGCATGTCTGGGAACGGTGCGGCGACCGCACAGTGCTTGAGCCGGCTGGGAGTCTGAGGTGTCCGGGCAATTGGACTTGCTTGGCACGGGGACGGAAAGCGCATTCACTTTCAGAGCGCGAGATGTCGCTGGCTTGCCCGTTCTTTCTCTTTGTCTCCCCGTCTGGAGGCTCTCTTGCTGGGGCATCTTGGTGGCATATTGGGCGCCCTCTAGGGCGATCTCGAAGCTGCAGGAAGCCTCTTGAGGGGGAACCAGGGCGTGTTGGTACCTTGGGAAGGCACTAGAGCGCGGTAAAGCACGAATGAAGATTAGGATTATATTGTTGATGATGATGACGACGACATACTGTCTCTTGGGAGCATCTTGGGCGTCTCCCAGGCCCTCCTTGGGCCGTCGTGTGGCTCTCTTAGGCCATCTTGGGGCCCTTCTGTTGGGCCGTCTTCGGTCCCGTCTGGGCCTCTCTCACGCCGTCTTGGAGGTGCCTTAAGCTGGCGAGGAGCTTATGCAGGTAGGGCGGGGCCAAGGGCGCCCCCCAGGCGGCGAAAGCCTTGCTTTCGTTTTTGTTTCCCGCTTAGACCGCCCATCGGTGCTCGGGGGGGGGGTCTTGGAGACCTCTTGAGCAGTATTGAAGCCGTCGTGGGCTATCGGGATCGCTCTTGGGCCGTCCTCGGGCCCGTCTGGGCCTCTCTACGCCGTCTTGGAGGCCGTTGAAGCCGTCTGCATACGTGCAGATGTTCGAACACGTCTTGGGGCCGTCTTGGGGGTATCTTGGGCCATCTTGGGGCGATCTTACGGGCCTCTGGCCTCTTGGGTCGTCTTGGAGGCATCTTGGACCGTCTTGGAGGACGCTTGGCCTCTCATGGGCTGCCTTGAAGGTACCTCAAGTTGACGAGGACTTTACGCGCTTACACGAAGCCTACGCGGAGCTTACGCGGCCGCCCGTTTCGGGCCCTGGTGGCAAGAACTTGTTACGTCACCGCTCTCCGTTGGGAGCCTTGGTCTTATCAGCTTGTTTACGTCACTGCTCGCTCTTGGAAGCCGCGGTGTTCAGACATGTTTACGTTGCCGCCGTTGGACCTGAGCGTGCAATTTCCCTGTTAACGGTCCGTTAACAGGGAAGAGCGCGTCCGTCACCCGATTTTCCCTGTTAAGCACCCGATGTTCCTTGTTAAGGGCTCCGTTGACAAGGAAAAGGGGTGCCCAAGCGTGCAATTTCCTTGTCAACGGTCCGTTAACAGGGAAACGGGCGGGCCAGTAAAGCACCAGATTCTCCCTGTTGAGGGCTCCGCTGACAGGGAAAAGGGCGGGCCAGTAGACCCTGAAATGCAGATGCCACCCCCCTCAAACTCCCCCTAATTTCATTTCTTCCGACTTACGGATCGCACGCTACGCGCGCTTTCCGTCATCTGGCCAGCATGGCGGGGGGGGAGGCAGGTTCGAGGTTCTGTGCTCGAGGAGGTTTGTTGCCCTCCTCGGCAGCCAGGGGCCGTCCTCGGGCCCTGGGAACGTCCGTGGAAGAACTGCACCGGTTGGGCCCTGGGAGGGGTCCGGGAAGTTATTCTGAGCGGCTTTGGCTTCGTCACCCCTCCCGACCGATCAATGCTCTGGGGCCCCAGCCAGCTCAGACCCCCCGGCCGCCTCCAATGGGGGTCCCCAGACGGGGCGGTGACCACACCGTGTGGTGGGTCAGTGGGGGTTCGGGGTGGCCGCACAGTTGTGGGGCTCGGGCCGTGCTCCGGGGACGTCTCGGGCAACCCGGGGCCTCCAGGGTGCCCAGGCGGTGGGGTGCGGCGGCGAGCCGTGCGCGGAGGTCGGTGGGGTCTCCGAGGTCGCCGCACGGTCTGCCACCGCACCGTTCTGGGGGCCCCCAAAGAGAGAGGCCGACTTCGACGAGCTGGAGACGCAGCTGCACGAGGAGGACCGGAAGATAGACGAGCTGGACCGCGAGAGCCAGGAGGACGCGTCGTTTGCGGAGAAGGGGGCCCTGCAGGACGACGAAGCGGTCGCCACCCCGCAGGCGGACTCGGACACGGCGCGGGCGGGCGGTCTCGGGGGCAATGCCTCGCTTGCGGCGGGCGCCGAGTCGCCGGATGATGCGCTGTTCTTCTCCCAGCTCTCCTCGGTATGATCCCGCCGGTCCGCTCGGGGTGGGCATGCTTGCGGTAACGGCTCCAGCCGCGTCAGCGCGGCGGCGTCAGAAGCCAACGCTCATGTCGCGACGTGAACCGCATGCTAGCGTTAAGTCGGGCATGTCCCTCTACAGGAGGAATGACTTTTAAAAATAGTGGCAATATAGTCTGGGGAGGACTTTTTCTTCTACTTTTTGAATACGTTTGACTATTTCTCGTTTGTTCTTCCAAAATCCGCCTGTAGGAGGATATGCCCGACCTAGTGCTAGTTTCCAGTCCTGGGACTTTTCCAACTGTTCTCTCGCGCGCGCCCGCTTTGCCCAGTCTTCACGAGGACGCAAATGTGACCCCACGGCAAGGAAGCACCACAAACCACAGCCAGGGCAGAGTCGCTTGTGAGTGCACCGGGTGGAAGAATGATGGCAGAGAAACGCCAAGGCAGGCGGGAAGAGAAGGAGCAGAGTTGCGAAGAAAGGACGAGGGGCCAAGCCTCCGACGTCGCGTCAACGCGGGATCCCTGGAGCTCTCGGGTCGAGGGGTCCAAGGACAGCTGTTGTTCGTCCCAGGTCGTTGCTTTAAGGTCCCAGGGCCCGAAACGGGTCCCCAGAGGCGAAAGACGACAGACATGACGAAGCCGAGAACCCCGACCTTGGAGCACAGGTGTCGGCGGCGAGCCAGGGGGGAAGTGAGAAGGGGCGGGCCTTCTCAGAGGGCCCGGAAGCCCCCCAGCCTTTCAGAAGTCCTTTGGGCCTCCCCCGAAGACACAGAGAACATCTCGGAAGGCTCGGGGGCCTTCTGAGAAGCCCCGCCGCCGTCTGAGAATGCTTTCTCCTTCTGCTTCCCCCCCTCGCTCGCCGCCGACGGTGGGCACGGCTTGCGAGAAAGAGAAGGAGAACAAGGGGATGCGAGCATGGCACCCCGTGTCGGAGCCCGTGCTGTCGGCTTTTCACGGGAGGAGGAAAGAGAGAGGCACGAGGCGAGAGGATGGAGGAGGGGAGGATCGGCGGCGATCCCGGGGGGGAAGGGGGAAGGGACGGGCCTTCTCAGAAGGCTCAGAAGTCCCAAGGCCTTCCGAGAAGTTGTCTACGCCCTCCCCGAAGACACAGAACGTGCCTCAGTAGGCGCGAGGGCTTTGAGAGGTCCCGCCGCCTTCTGAGAGGGCCTTCTCCTCTTCACGTCCCACCCTCGCTCGCCGCCGAGAGAAGTGCAAGTGAGAACGATGGTGAAGACAGAGGGTGAGAGAGGAAGCGAAGAAGGGAGGAGGAAAGAGCTCGGAGAGGGATGGAGGGCGGAGGAGAGAAGCAAGGGAGAGGAGGGAGGAGGCGTGGCCCGCGGAGCTGGTAGAGGGAGCGAGGGCGAAGGACGGGGAAAGCCTCCTGCTCTCGTGCTGGTTCTCGTTTTCCCCCGCTGCCCTCCCGTCGAAGTGGACAGGGCGCTGCTGGAGAGAACGAGGGCGAAGGACGGGGATGCGGACTCTCGCTTCCCCCGCTGCCCTCCTGGCGCAGTGGGCGGGGCGCTGCTGGAGAGAACCAGAATGAGGAGCCTCGCAAGGACCTCGCCTCGAGCGGAGGCGGAACCCTGGGCGCGCGCGCCCCCCCCCTTCGGGAGGCACTGCACCGGCCGCCGCGGATCGGCGCCGGGCCGCTGGCGCCGGGGCTGCTGAACGCGATCCTGGCGCTGGTGGACGCCGTGGTGCCAGGGGTGGGCGGAGAGGGGGAAGCGCAGCACTGGGACCGCCCCCAGACCCCAAGAGGCATGAAGCAGCATCTCGAGGTAATTTCAAGGCTTCTCGCCATGTTCAACCTCTGGAGGCCCTTACCGGGTCGGGACCGTCAGAACAGGATTCGGGGCTCAAGAGACGGGGATCAATGCAAGCGGGGGTCAGCCAGACAGTGCCTTGCAGGATCCCGCAGGGCCAGGGTCACACTGGCCCGGGCTTGGGTGCAGGATCCCGCAGGATCCCGCAGGATCCTGCAAAGCCAGACTGACCCCCTGTCTGGATGGACCCGGGTCAGCATATCCCCGAACGATTCAGGATGAGAAGCCGGTCTTAGGGAATCAGTCGAGACCTCTGGCGAGCGGCGCTGTGGAGACGACATGACGTCGGGGTCTGGGGCCCTAGTAGGTACATCCCTTGGTACCACGATCAGGATCCCGCAAAGGGGGGTGCCCCGGGGGGGGGAGTTCGATAGGTTTTTTGCACCGAACCGCACAAAACAGATGCCCCCCCGCCGCCGGCAGCTCACGATAGTTGCCGATTGGTGGGAATGCGGGGGGCATCTGTTTGCGGCAGTTCGGTGCACCAACGGATCGAACTCATGCCACCCCTCAGGGTCACTCCCCCTTTGGTGGATCCCGACACGAAGACTCTTGCACTGCCGCTTCCCCCTCGGGGCCCCGCGGTGGCGGAGGGGGAGGGCCCGGAGCAGGACGAGGATGCGCGCCGGGCCCCCGAGGCCCGAAATGCGAGGACGGAGGCGCGTTTTTTTCTTTACCTGCTGGCCTCAGGGAAGATTCTTCCGAAGAAGAAGAAGAAGAAGATCAAACAAACGAGACAACGCCATGGACATAAACTTGTGGCGCTCCGCGCGGATTTCTTGGATCGGCGCCCGAGGCCCCCCTGGCGGCGCCTCCGGCGCCGCCCCTGGCGCGCGGAGCGCGCCAGGGAGGGGGGTCCGGCGCAGATCCAGGAAATGCACGCGGAGCGCCAAAAGTGTATGGCTGTGTCGTTTTTCTCCTTCACTCGGACCCCTTGCCCTGCCACGCAGGCCCCCTCTGCAGGAGGTAGATCTGAGGATTGTAGAAATGATATGGTGACGATTTGTCGTGCTCTTCTAACTATTTTTGATCATTGGTTGATTATTTCTTCCAAAATGCGCCTGTATGAGGACATGCCTGACCGAACCCTTGCCCTGCCCCGCAAGCCCCCCCCGGAACTAGTGGCGGCAGTGGCGGCGGCGGCGTCGGCAGCGGCGGCAGTCCTGCACCCCCCCCTCCACGCCAGCGCCTGCTGCACAGGGGAGGGTGACAAGCCCCAGTCGTTGCTCGTTGTGTTTGTCTTACCACATGCTAAATGGTCGTTGCATCGTGCGGCGCGTGACCGATAACAGTATTAGTTAGTGTTGAGCATTGTTTGCTAAGTTTGATTTGCCATCTGCTTCTTACGGCGTACAGCCGGGTATGATTTGCGTGCGGTATTGCGAAGGCCTTACGGCCGGTGCCGCTGACCCTGCATGGCGGCGACAACCACGACCAGGGGCCTCTTGGGAAGCTCTTGGGGGCCGCTTAGGAGCCTCATGGGGGCCGCTTGAGGCTTCCTGGGGGTCTCTTGGGGGCCTCTTGGGGCTTCTTGGGGGGCTTCTTAGGGGCCTCTGGGGGTCTCCTGAGAGCTTTTCAAGCCGAAGGCTCGAAATGTCCGTTCGGATCCCCCGTCTTGGCTCCCTCTTACAACCGTCTTGGGAGCCTCTTCAATTGTCTTGGAGGCCTCTTGGACGGTCTAGGGGCCCTCTTGGGTCGTTTTGGGGCTCTCATGAACTCCTCTTGGGCCATCTTGGGGCAGTCGTGGGGGCCTCTTGGCCTGTTTCGGAGCGTCGGGAATCTTACAAGGCGAGAATGCCGAAATCTGTCAAAAAGCTAAGGGGAATCGATGATTGTTGTTCCTTGGGGAATCGATGATTGTTGTTCCTTGGTGCCCTCTTAGAAGTCCTCTTGGAGGTCTCTTGGGACATTTTGTAAACCTTTTGAGCCGTCTGGAGGCTACTTTGGCGACTTGGACCGATACTTCGGCGATTCGGGGCCCTCGAGGACCGTCTTGGGGGCATCTTGGGGCATTTTTGCCGCGTCTTGGGGCCCCCGAACCGCCCAGGGGGGGAGTCGTATCTGACTCGGGACTTCCCCGGGACCCCCCCCCACCCCCCCAGGCGTGGAAGGGATCCAAGGGAAGGGGCTTCCTTTCGACTCCACAACAACGTTGCTCAATTTCGCTGTGGCTGGCGCGCTCGACGAGGACAGCGACCACGACGATGACGACGAGTCAAACGGAACAGCCTCTTCCACACGCCGACAGGGTCGGCGGATTTCGCATGCGCGTAGTGCATTCGTGCAGTACGGATGTTACGTACAGAGCGTGCGCAGTTTGTTGTGACAGTTATTGTTACATATAGTGCGTGCCACGCTGTACGAATTCATACGTGTTACGACGTACCCCGGCGCGTTGTTGATTCCTATGTTGTTGGTGTTATTGATGTTGTCATTTTCTAAAGTCGCTGTTACCAAGTTCACTGGTACTGTTGCAATCACAAGCATCTTGCTGTACGGATACGGCCAGCCCCTCTACCCTACAAATAGTACGACTATGTATGAGGTTGCCGGTGTTACTAGAAATTAAATGAAGGCGCGAAATATCAATGGTGATAGGACTCGCCATGTACGAGCGATTACTGGCTGTTTCCTTTTTCACATGATCTGCTATCCGAACTACCTCCGCTGCATTATACTACGATTATGTTTCTACGTCGTGAAACTTGCGCCGTTTCTGCCACATGCTCTTGCATCTGATTTCCGTTGGCAGGCAGTATCATTTACAACGCCCGCTCGCTCTATGTGTTTGTTCTGTCTTGGAGTTGCACGAAGAGGTTACCCATGCTCGTCTTCAGCCTCCATCTTTCCCATCTCATCTTCATCCTTGTCCGTATCTTCTTGGTTGTGATCCTCACCCGAGTGTTTGTCCTGCCTCTTGGGATACCGCAGCATGCTCGTGGAGAGCGCGGGGCGATGCAGGCTGCCGCCTTCCAACGCCGGCCTGCTACGCGTAGTGGCGAGAGGTCGCGTTCGGCCATCGGGCATGACTTTGTCCGTGCACGAGCGCTGCAGGCTGGGCGGGCTAAATAGACGACGATGCTCCCAGACGTCCAGCGTCACGAACAAACAGATCCAGTGCGGACCCCGAACAGTGAATTGGTGTAACGTGTGCAGCGCCTGGTAAGCAGTGCATGGGCGGGAGACCTCATTACCGCACCGAAGACTCTGCGGCCAGACCCCCCGCGCAAACGCGCGGGCGCGACACTCCGGCCGCACCGAAGCATCTTCAGCGCGCCACGCACTCACCGCATGGGCGTGGCCCTGTGGCCGCACTGCAGCACCTGCGGCCCCTCGCACGAAACGCACGGGAGCGGCCCCGTGGCCGCGCCAGAGCAACGCAACGTAATGCATGGAGGCCACACGATAGGCGCCCCCTCCGCACGCAAAGCAGGGGCGGAGCCCAATACTGCAGTGTTGCAGCATTTGCCCGAACGGAAGATTCTGCGGCCCCCCGCACGCAACGCATGGGCGGGACGTCATGGCCGCACCGAATCAAGGCGTCTGGTTGCAAGTACGGTTTGGCGAATCGTGACGGCCAGCTTGTGTTCCCGTTCTCGATTTCTGAGGTCGCGCACGGGCCCCGAGACCGTCAAAAGAGATTCGGGCCAGAAAAATGAGTCGGAGGTAAGGGTTGGGCCCAACGTCTTGAAAAACATCGTGACGTGTGATGTTTGGGATGTTTGTTTGATTCAGGTAGGCAGGCAGTATATGATGCCCATGACTACTGTTGCAGGCTTGCCTCCTTGGCGGACGCGTGGGCAGAGTAGATTCTAAAAGTCTAGAGGCGATATGATACAACGGCACGAGAAGAAGGAAAGAGACGGAGAGAGGGAAGGAGACAGGGGAGAAGAGGCACACAGCACAAAAGACATCTCATATTGAAAATCGGCGTCGCCCACACTTCCAGCGTTTGCGGCAGGCCCAGTTCTTAGGCATTTCGCATTTCGTCGGCATCGCACATTACATTAGTCTCGTTTGCATTGTGAGGCGTCAGTGTGAGAAACGTGGGTTCTATACAAGCTGGTTTGCCGCTCACTCAGGGTCGCAGGCAGAGGCTTGGATTCTGCTCAGTCGAGCACAACATCATTCGAATGCTCAGCAAGCGTTTGCAGTTGGCGTGGACTTATCCTCTTCGTCACACGTTGTGCGCATCGAGACTGGACAGAAAGCAGCTCGTGTTCCGTTTTCCGATGTCCCGCTCTTTTTTCCCAGCCCTCTCCATGCTCGGGGAAGGGAGGAGCAACATGCGGAGGAGAGGCACGGAAGCAAGAGAAGGGAGGGAAGAGGGAGGATGAACATACAGAAGAAGAGAGGGAGGGAGGAAGAAGAAGAGGAGAAGGAGGCGGAGGAGGAGGAGGAGGGAGGGAGGGAGAAGGAAGGGAGGAGGGAGTGAGGCGGAGGAGAAGGGGGGATGGAGGGGGATGGAGGGGGATGGAGAAGGAGGAGGAGAGGAGGAGCAGCGGCAGCCTCCGAAAAACCAGCGAACGACAATGAAAACGACGGCGAGGACGACGGCGACAACGGCAGCGACGACGTCGACGACGACGGCGACGGCAACGGCGACGGCGGCGGCGGCGGCGGCGACGACGATGACGACGAAGACGACGCGCACGACGGAAAACCCGCGTCAAGAATCTGCCCCCACATTCATCCTGGAGTGCGTTTTGACCCGAATTCCGATGGCAACCCAGATGTTGCGGCGAGAGGTCTCCCAAAGACCCCAAACAGCCAAGAAACGCATCAAGACCTCCAGCCTCGATCCTCGAACGCTCACGTCGACGACGACGACGAGGACGACGACGACGACGACGACGACGACGACGACGACGACGACGACGACGACGACGGCGACGACGACGACGGCGACGGCGGCGACGACGACGACGACGGCGCGCGGGCAGGAGGGAGGGGTCGGAGGGAAGAGGAGGACGAGGGAGGAGGAAGAGGAGAAGGAGCAGGAGGAGGAGGCAGAGGATAACAGGAGCAGGAGAAAGAGGACGACGAGGACGAGGAGGAGGAGAAACAGGAGAAAGAGGAGGAGGAGGAGGAGGAAGAGGAGAAGGAGGAGGAGGAGGAGGAGGAGGGGGACGACACCGACCGCGACGACGACGACGATGACGACGACGGCGACGACGACAACGACGACGACGACGACGATGACGGCAGCGATGAAGGCGGCAACCGCGACGGCGACGGCGACGGGCCGCCCAAGCTCCGGAGCGCGCTGGCCGCGGCGGGGCAGCCGCTCGCGGGCGGCGCGTCGGCGGCCACGGCCGCGGCCTCGCAGGCCTCCGCCCGCTCGCTCGTCGTCCGCCTCCTCCGAAGGACTCCGACAACGACGACGACGACGACGACGACGACGAGGACGGACGAACGACGATGACGACGACGAACGACAACGACGACGACGACGACGACGACGACGACCGACGACGACCACGACCACGACGACGATGACGGCGGCGGTGGCGACGGCGGTGGCGACGGCGACGGCGACGGCGACGGCGACGGCGACGGCGAGTTTGACGGCGACGGCGACGAGGGCGACGACGAGGACGACGACAAGGGCGACGACTGTGACGACAACGACGTCGACGACGACGAGGGCGAGGACAACGACGACTATCCACCCTGAGAGAGTTGGGGCCACAGTGGACCTGGACGGGGTTAGCCTTGCTTGGGGACCGTGTGGCAGTGGATGTCGAATGTCGTCTTCTTCTGCTCCTGCTCCTGCTCACCTCTCCTGCTCATACCTTCTTCCCCTCGGAGGAGGGGACAGAGGGTGGTCGCTCCACCCGCGGCTGGCCAATGGAGAAGGAGGGGGGAGGAGAAGGAGCAGGGGGAGGAGGAGGAGCTAGTGGTTTTCGGGCCCTGGAGTGTTTTCTATAAGCTGCGCGTCGTATGTTCTCGCTTTCTGGGCACGACTGGGCTCGCCTCGAGACCTTGACCTGCGCGACCGGCGCAGGGTTCTGAGGCGGGCCCAGCGTCTTGCAGGCTCCGACGGCCGACATCCGCCTCGGAGCGCGCTCCGTGAGAGGACGAAAGATCGGTTTTGACCGAGGGCGGGCCCAGATTTTGAGGCCGGGCCAAGCAAGCACGACGGGCTTGTGCTGAACGATGTCTGATTCCAGGGGCAGTGGTCGGACCTCGGGGCAGGGACCTGGGGCGTAAGCCGGCCCCAGGGATGGGATCGAGGGTTGAGGAGACCCACGTCGCTTGAGGGGGGAACTGAGCTATGATTACACATGTGTTGTACAAACGGCGCTAGACTTGATGTGATCGGAGGTCGGTGAGACCGAAGTGAAAAAAAGTCCCCCAACTGAAAAAAACGTATCGGTTTCAGTTTGTGTCGTCCGCGGCGTGTGAGGCGAAGCTGCGCGAGGGCGAGGCAGATCCTGGCCTTGTTAGTGCAGGTTGCCATCATATGATTCTTCCCCAGCCACCAGGCGGTGGCTCCCGCGGTTGTCCCAGGGGTTGTCCTGCGGTTGTCCCGTGGTTGTCCCGTGGATGTCTCATGATTGCTTTGTGGTTGTCACGCCATTGTCGCGTGGTTGTTCATTGACGTTCCATGGTTGTTCAGCGGTTGTCCCGCGGTTTCACATGGTTGTCCCGTGATTGGCCGCGGTTGTCCCGCGGGCTGTCCCGTGATTGTTTCGTGGTTGTCCGTAGTTTTTCTTTTTGAGAAAGATAGATCGTGAGACAGATAAATTGGCAGCGATAACGGCCTGTGCTTGTTATATAACTCGAATGACAGTGAGACTGATAGATAGTTAGATCGATGTTTAGATAGTGAGTACAGCAGGTATGTAGGTCGTGGCAATGGTCGCAGTATGGTGCACTTGATGTACAAATACACATATTTGTGTGTATTTCAGATATATATATATATATATATATATATATACAGATCGATTGACACAAAGCGAATTTCATAGGTGGGTTGATCGTAAGATCGGTAGATTGATGGTGAAACCGATCTGTACCAGTTGTCCCGTGGTTGTCTTATGGTTATCCAATGGTTATTATGCGGTTGTCCGTTAGTGTTCTTATCAGGCCGATAGCCAGTGGCACCCGCGGACAGCTAGTGAGATCGATTGATGGATAGCTAGGTAGATATCTATACATACATACATACATACTACATATACATACAGACATGCATGCATACCTATAAATATACACTGGGCCTAATGTATGGATTGAAATTAGTAATCTAACATTCATCTTCCTATTATTGCGAAGGCCTTACGGCCGGTGCCGCCGACACTGAAGGGGAACGACGACAACGGTGGCGGCGGCGATGACGACGGCGGGTCTGAGCCCTTCTGGATGCTTCTTGGGGTCTCTTCGAAGCGCTCTCGGGGGCCTCTAGGGGAAAGTTTAGGGGCCTCTTGGGAGTCTCTTGGGGGCCTCTTGGGAGCCTCTTGGGCGCCTTTCTGGGCTTCCTCGCGACCTCTTGAAGCCTTTTAGGAGCCTCTTGGGGGCCTTTTACTTCCTCCTGAGAGCCAGTGGGTGGACGAAATATCGCAAGTTATCTGAGCGTTATGAGAAACAACGTGCCAACTTGTATCAGATTCCATCGATATCTGAGGACCCCCACTCCCCACATTCCAATGTTCACTTGCATTAGTTCGTCCTCCGGGATGTGGGGTGCTCGCTCGATGCTAACATTGAAATGTAGGGGGCGGGGATTGTTCGTAGAAATGGCATCACACTTTAGGTGCAACCGCACGCGGTCAGTGACAGCTTGTAAAATTTCGTCGTCCCCACCGGAGGGCTCGAAATGTCCGTTCTGGTCCCTCGTATGGGCACCCTCTTGAAGCCGTCTTGGGGGTCTCTTGGGCCGTCTTGGAGGCGTCTTGGGCCATCTTGGGACCCACTTAGGTCGTTTTGGGTCCCTCCTGGACCCCTCTTGGGCCGTCTTGGGGCGATCTGGGGGGCCTCTTGGGCCGTCTTGGAGCGTCGGGAAGCGGTGTCTTCTTGGGGCCCTCTTGGGAGAGCTCATGGAGGCTTCTTGGGGCGTCTTGCAGGGCTCTTGGGCCGTCTAGAGGCCGTCAAGGCGTCTTGGGCATATGGTTCGGCGATTCAGGGCCCTCTTGAACCGTCTTGGGGGCCTCTTGGGGCACTATTGGCCCGTCTTGGCGCTTTTTCGGGCCCCGGGACCTCCTGGGGAGGAGTCGCATCTAACCCGGGGCCCCCCCCCCGAGACCTCTCCCCTCCCGGCGAGGGGGGGGATCACAAGGGAGGCGCGTCCCTTCGAGTCAATTATGACGCTGATCAATTTCGCTTGAACTGGCGCGCTCGAGGAGGAGGGCCCAGGGAAGGGGGGGGAGCGGCGACGGGCCCAGGAAAAGGGGCGGCGCAGGGAAATCACCACCCACCAAACCACCCCAACCCAACCCGAAGGCTCAGATTTGCCCTCGATTTCTAGTGGGGGGGGGTCGGGAAACATCGAAAAAACACATGTGGAACCCTTACCCCCCCCCCCAACCCGAAATTCGGGTCTTCGGGTTGGGTTGGGGTGGTCTGGTAGGCAGTCAGGAGAGGGGACGACAGAGACGACGACCAGCGAGTGACGGAGACGACGACCCGAGCGGACAGGCCCCCCGCACACGCGGGCAGGGTCGGCGGAAATTCGCCCCCGGAAGCGGACGCGGATGGCTTTTCCGCCCGCCAAGCCCTAGAAGAACAGCGGGGCTCCTCCTGGGCCCGTCCGGGGGCCACCTGGGGCCCCTTTTTGGGGTCTCCCTGGGCCACTCCACTCCTCCTCCTCCTCCTCCTCCTCCTCCTCCCTCCTCCTCCTCCTCCTCCTCCTCCTCCTCCTCCTCCTCCTCCTCCTCCTCGTCCTCCTCGTCCTCCTCCTCCTCCTCCTCCTCCTCGTCCTCGTCCTCCTCCTCCTCCTCTTCCTCCTCTTCCTCCTCGGCCTCTGGCGAAAGGCCCAGACGGTCCAAAAAAGCACACAGGCCGCCAGGTGGACCCCCATACGTTCTGGCCACAGGACGACTCGAAAACGTTCCAACCAACAGAATGCCCACCACACCTCGCCAGATGGCCCCCAAGATGGCCGCAAGAGGGCCCAAACTGGCCCTCAAGACGGCCCCAGGACGGCTCCAGAACGTTCCAACCATAGGACAACCACACCCCGCCGGACGGCCCCCAGATATCCCCCAACGACTCCCACAAGGCCCCAAAGGTCTAAATTATCCCAGTGCGACGCTACCTAGGAGTAGGAGCCCCTAGGAAAGCAGCATTAGTAGTAACGGTAAATCTAAGCTAAAGCTAAGTTAAAGCTAAGTCACAGCTAAGCTAAAACTAAGCTGAAGCTAAGCTAAAGCTCAGCTAAAGCTAAGCTGAAGCCCAGCTAAAGCTACTAAGCTAAAGCAAAGCTAAAGCTAAGCTAAAGCTAAGCTGAAGGTAAGCTAAACTAAGCTAAGCTAAGCTACAGCTACAGCTACAGCTAAGCGAAGCTAAGATGAAGCTAAGCTGAGCTAAGCTAAGTTAACCGAAGCTAAGATGAGATAAGCAACGCTAAGCCAAGGGAACGTCACTGGGGGAACCGCGGGGCGGATCCTGGGGGAACCGCCCGGGGCGGGCAACACTGCCTGGCCCTTTAAGCATACAGGGTAAGAACCCTTCTAGGCAGAGCCTAGGTAGGGAATGAAGGTAAGCTAAGCTAAGATAAACTTGAGTTAAGATGAAGCTAAGCTAAGCTAAGCTAAGATGAAATAAGCTAAGCTAATATGAGATAAGCAACGCTAAGCTAAGGGAACGTCATTGGGGGAACCTCGGGGCGGATCCTGGGGGAACCGCCCGGGGCGGGCAACACTGCCCGGCCCTGTAAGCATACAGGCTAAGAGCCCTTCTAGGCAGAGCCCAGGTAGGGAATTATCCTGTGACGTACCCAACCCATCTGTATCATGGGAAACGAGGAGTTGGCCGAAACTTGCATGGACAATCAAATTGCAGGATCCGTTGTTTGATATGTAAGCTACTTGGGACACGCGCCTATGGCATGATGCGCAGGAGAACCATACAAGAACGAGGGGCGACAACTACAGGCTCGAAGAGGACATGGGGAGTCGGGAACGAAGAGAAGGAGAAAGACGTGCGGGAAGCCCACTGTGCTGGGCCCCCCAGCAGGCCTCGAAAGTGGCGACAGTTTCACAGATCGCAGCCCCCCAGGGATGGCGAGGTCTAATTTCAATCCGCGGTGGCTACCCACTGTGCTGGGCCCCCCAGTAGGCCTCGAAAGTGGCGACAGTTTCACAGATCGCAGCCCCCCAGGGA